TAAATAAATAAATAAATAAATAAATGAGTAAATAAATAAATAAATAAGTAAATAAATGAATAAATAAATAAGTAAATAAATAAACAAATTAATAGATTATACAATATTTACAATACATTATACAATATTTACAATTATACAATAATCACAATATATTATATAATATTAACAATATATCAGAATATTACACAATACTTACAATATACAATATTTATTTACTTACTTACCTAAATATGATTACATTTCAATAAGAATACCAACCCCCAAACCATACCCAACCATACAATAACAACAAATCAACTCACATGCGGTATATCCAATCCTCTCGCAGCCAAATCCGTACAAATCAAAATCCTGATTCGACCCGAACGAAATCTGGTCAACGCGGACATCCTCTCGTGTTGACTTATTTGTGAATGTAACGAGCCAACCTGCAGCATAATAAAGTAAAGAAGAAGTTTATGCAAACCAGTCATAACACACGCACAACTCAACATCTTCGCTATTGGTTGGCTGAGCTGCTGAAGTGATTTACAAAAATGTGATTGAATAGATCAAGATCACGATCATGATCCAGATCAGATCAGATAGATCAGATGAACATTAAGAGTTTAACTGAACACTCAGTGTTTCTATCATTGCGTATCAAATGTATTACAGTTAGTTACATTAACTCGATAATAAAAATGAACAACCTCAATAACCCTAACCCAAAATCACTAAAATATTTCCAAAAAATTTCTCCTCCCAACCTGAAATCCCAATCCTGTGAACATAATCGCTAGAGCTTGACACTCTCGACACGTTTGTGAGAATATTAAAATTGAGCTCGTGGGTCGATTCTCGTGGAAATTCTTCACCACATACACCAAATAGGCATCTTTCACGGCAAATGGACACAAAACATACTTCTGCTCTAGCTTCTCCACTGTCGCAATATCGCTGCGATCCTCGAAGAAGTACGGCTTCTTGATGGATACCTCAAATGAAATGATTTAAAATAAAATGCAATCGGAACAACAATAAAA